TATAATTTTAAAATATCTGCAGAAATCCATTTGCACGTTACAGATATTACCCAACTCCTCCACCCTACATGATCGCAGCCAGAGCTCTTCGACTTTGCAATGGCTCTGACTCCATGGCCGTACTTCCTCCAGCTCCCACTCCACTCCTCGCCCCACTCCGCTCAGCTCTTCTACTCCCAATCGCGAAAGGCCGAGGCCTCTCTCGTCTCTCCGATTCCAGTCAAGCTCTCCGTCTCGGTCTCGCGGAGACCCAAGTGCTTTAGATCGGCCACCGAGGAGGACCGGTTCAGCGACCCCGAAACCATCTCCGATGACGAAGCTAGACCCCACGACGAAGTTCCGGTCAACAGCCGACATCAAAGGACGACGACGGCGGCGACGAGTGGTGGCTCGGGTAGGGTTGCGATGTCGTCTGCCAGTGATTCTTTGCTCGGAATTCGCGAGCCGGTCTACGAGGTCTGTTGCAAGTCAGTTTTGTAATCTGTTTAATTGCACTTTAAGAATGTGAGTAATGTATTAATCCATATGATTAACCAATAAGATTATTTAATTAATTTATAGGTGGAAGAAGTGAAGGCTAATGGGACGATATCTGTTAGAAAAATAAACAGACGTCAGCTGCTGAAGTCAAGTGGTGAGTTAACGAATTTAAATCACATTATTGCGTGAAAGAAGTGTTGATAATATCGTTTTATTAAAAAAAAAAAATACATGCGCCGCTTTTCATTAATTTCGTAAAAAAGCTATTTACTTTACACTGCTCTTTGAAATTAAACTGCTAACAACATGATGTGGGTTAATTCTAATGCTGTTTCCGGGTTACGGGTGTTAATTTTCATCCTCAGGTCTTCGTCCGCGTGATATTCGGAGTGTTGATCCTTCATTGTTTCTCACAAATTCGATGCCTTCGTTGCTGGTATGATTCCAGCTTCCATTTTTGGTATTTCATGCTAGTTCCTGCAAATTGTAATGCTTTTGTGTGTGTTCTTACCTGTATAAATATTTAAATTTTGGTAAGCAAGAATCATAGATAACTAATTCTTTTTAAATGGCGGAAATTTATCATACTTACGAGCTTCTTTTGATCCGTCTCTTAGGTCCGGGAGCATGCTATTCTGTTGAATCTAGGCTCATTACGCGCAATTGCAATGCAAGAGCGTGTCCTTATATTTGACTACAACAAGTGAGAGAGCAGAACAAGATATTGCATTGACTTCTAGTTTTTGCCTTATCGAGTTCAAAGCGTAATACCACTGGAAATTTTGCATGTGCAGTACAGGAAGCAGAGCTTTCATAGAAGCATTGTTGCCTCGACTAAACCCCAAAAATATGAATGGAGGACCATCTATGCCATTTGAGCTCGAGGTTAGCATTCTTGTCGCGATTCCTATCTCGCTTCATGCTAAATCGCTGTTTTTGCTTTGGAATTTCAGATTTATTAGTGTGTGTTACAGATTTCCAAAGGATCTGCTTGTAGAAACCTTACACAAAGATGATTCCAAGAAATGCTACCCTTTTAATTTTCTTCAATTATAAGGGTTCAGTTCTGGAGGATTTGAAAAAGGTTTCTAGTTTGCCTTATTGCAGTTTTTTATGCCTTAAGGAACGGTAATATGGCTGCCATTTGCATTGAATTGGAGGGCCAAATATATAAGTTTTAATCCTAGTACCATTCTTTATTTTATGACTGACTTCAAAGATATATTAGTTCTTGATATGGTATTTTGTAAGTTGGATACCCTTACCTGAAAATTTCTATAAGAAACAAGAATCTAACTTATAGGCAGATCAAACGTAAGGCAGAGATTGTTCAAATGAGTGAGAATGATATTCCTCTCCTATGTAACCTGCTGAGCTCATTAGCTCATTGGTGAGAAATGCAATGAACATTCTCGGAAATTCTCTCTGTCATGCTTTTAATTCTTCCCAGAAATCCAAAAGGGGAAATTTCTCCATTTTTGATCCTATCCTTTTTGAAAGAAAAATACTAACACGCACAAATATGTACACACTTTAACAAGCTTGTGGCATGCAGTGAACTACATAAAATACAAATTCAATAACAACTGAACTGAGATTAAAGATAGACAAAACTTTCCGTTATGGCTTAGGTGTGACTGCTTTGGATTATATCAAATTTCAAAAGGAGGATACACTGTTTGAGTTTAATGTTTCACTGTATCTCCTTTCTCAATAACTTAGAACAAGCTGTAGGTTTTCAATAACAAGGCTTACATCAAGGACCGATTTCTGTGTTACTAATATTCATGTTCCGAAAAGGTTGGCAAGAGGTAAAAAGTGACCTTATTTGTCATGCATATGCCTCTTCTGCGCAGATGTTTGGATTAATCAAGACAGAAGTCATCGGCATATTGTCATTAAGAATAGGGGGGTTTCTATACTTTGTGTAAACTTGAGGGCTTTCTTTGCGTTTATATGATTCATATTCCTTGTCATGCATATACTTCCTAATCTTTTCACCTATTAAGCTTCTGAATCTCAATTTATCAGAGTGCCGAACATATTTTGTGTTTGTGGTACTTTCAGGTTGTTGAAGCAGCATTGCTCTCAAGAATACAGCGTTTAGAACAAAGACTAATGTATTTAGAACCTCGTGTGAGTATGGGCACATAGTGAGTATTTTAATATATATTTTTTTTTTTCCTAAGGTTCTCTTTTAGGTTCTCTCAGCAGATATATGCCTTAGAGCTAAATATATCCTATATGTTCTAGCTTGCCACTGTCATGAAAAAATTAGTAGCTTGCAACTGTCATGAAAAAATCAGTAAATTAAATATCTGCCTTAGAGCTAATATTTGTTTTTTCAAATTCTGTGATTCAAGTGAAATCATGTTTAATCTCCTTCAATTGGCTTCAGGTTCAAAAGTTACTCAGTGTTTTGCCGAACCGGTTAACTGCTGACATACTGGAAGAGCTTCGTATTAGCAAGCAAACCTTGGTATAGTTGATCATTTTGGCTTAATGGTAAACCCGTGTTCAGGGGCATTGACAAACATCATTATTAATCTGGTTACCTGTCCTTTGTTAATGAAAGGTTGAATTGGGTTCGAGGGCAGGGGCTTTCAGGCAAGTGCTCTTTGATCTGTTAGAGGATCCCCATGAAATACGCCGTATATGCATTATGGGGAGAAATTGTACACTCAAGAAGATAAATGATGACATGGAATGTTCTGTTCCTTTAGAGAAGCAGATTGCTGAAGGTTAGTTTTAGTGCTGTAATTTACTTGAGCAATGTATAAGTTGCAAATTCAGTCAATGAGTGTGTATCTTTGGTTTGGTTTTGTTATACACAGAAGAGGAGGAAGAAATTGAGATGCTCTTGGAAAATTATCTTCAACGGTAGGTTCCCCTTCACCCCTAACGTTAGCACGAATGGATAGTGATGCATTTTTTCCCTATGCTATAGTGCTATGATGTCCACCGTGGAGTTGAACTTAGTGTTTGATGCATTTGCAGGTGTGAATCTTGTCATGGCCAGGCTGAAAGGCTTCTCGATTCTGCTAAAGAAATGGAAGATTCTATAGCTGTCAATTTGAGGTCTGAATGTTTTTGCTGTTTTTTATTTGTTTATAGCTCTAGACATTCCGCCTGGATGTGAAACATTTATTGATCTTGTTGTTTGACAACCACGAAATCCACAGAATCTAAAATGTTTAAGCTGTTAGAAAACTGGGCCGACAACGTATATAGATCAGCATCCTCTTCCACGGAAGCCCCGTCGTGCTCATAGAGATGCAAACATAAATGCAGACAAGAAACACATAGCTGCAGCCCCATTCCGCACACCATACAACCTTACCTTGAGCTGAATTAGTATTAGTTAAAAGTTTCATATATAATCCTGAAACCGAAAAATTCCCTATTATTTTTGTGTTTGCACTCTCATACTCAAACCGGAATTGAATTGTATTGGATGCTTAAAGGCCACACTGGGTGCTTTTCAATTATCTAATGCCAATTTTATCTGATTTCATTTATCAGTTCTCGGAGGCTTGAGGTTAGCAGGGTGGAATTACTACTCCAGGTTGGGACGTTTTGTGTGGCACTTGGCGCTCTGGTTGCAGGTGTGTCCTTAACCTGCTACACAAACCCTATCTCTTACCTCTATTAGTTATGTGCAATGCTTCTGGAAATAAGTTTGGGCATTGTGTTGGTACAAATGTTCCAATGGGTTCCGGACCTCCGGTGCGATTCTACTCGTTTCCAGTCTGTCCTTGTGCAGATCTTGCTATATAACCTACCACATAGGAAATTCTCATGTATTGTGATCATGGCAACAAGTATCTATCTACGTTGTCAGGAGTCTTATTTCCTTCTAATTGCAGGTATTTTTGGCATGAACTTGAGGTCCTACCTCGAAGAACATGTGGTACGTAAAAGTCCGCGAATTTAACTGAATTGATTATCTTCCCATTCTCTTCCGGGTAACCACAACTTGGCCTTGGCCATTACTTATTGCTTAATTTGGTGCAGTTCGCATTTTGGTTTACAACAGCAGGGATACTAGTCGGCGCCGTCTTCGGATTTTTTCTTGTCTACTCTTATCTCAGGACACGGAAAATACTGTAAATGTAAAGTGATTCAGTATAGGTAAAAATTTCAATGCTCTTTCGTTTCGTTAATCTCGTTTGTGTTCTGGAAACCTAATCGCACCTCGTTAATTTTACAGGTGATTTCGGAGGTGATGAACAAACAGTCAGCTGCCAAACACATTGATATGATTGTACTGTATTTCAATTATTTCATCACTGCGGCTTGGTAACGCGAGTTGAATCCGTTAGGCTTTAGCTCTAGTATATGCAACAAGTAGCGGTGATTAGTGTTCATGGCCCTGTAATATTTTGGCCAAGCTGGATGCTGGATTGTATAAGTGCCCCACTGCCCACGCCTTACAGAAGTAAGAAACAAAGAATGTACACCCAAAAGAACGATATATTCACACATTACAAACATAAATCTTTAAATGAAACCTAGTCTGGTGAAAGTTTGATACATCGACCCTTCCATAGAACCGTCAAATTGGAAATAACGAAATATTTGATAAGAATGTTTGTAATCAAAGACAAAATGTGCTTCAGAGATGTACTTAGAAATTTGAGCACGATTGAGAAAGATACTAGAGCAGACTACTGGTAAGCACTAATCAAAGCCGCATCCCCGAAACTCGAAATGGATTAACAAATGAATATGGAAAACCAACAAAAGCTCAATGCATTGGACAAAAAAGGAAAGAAGGAAAAGGAAGAAGAGAAAAACACAGCTCTACGGTAAAAGAACAAAACAAAGGGGTGTGATATTCACACACTCCATTTTACTTTTCACACACCCTTCTAATTTTCGGCCGTCGAATCGGATGAATTGAAGAAAATCAACGGATAGAAATTAACAAGGGGTGTGTAAGAAGTAAAATGGGATGTGTGGATAGCACACCCCTAAAATTGCATAAAACATGGAAAAGAAAAACACCTGAACCAACTGGTCATGCCTGTTGTGATGAATTTAGTGCACTTTGGGATTCTTTAACAGGTTTTGAAGATTCATCAATGGCTATATTCCCCATTCCCACCTCCATTGCTTCCCTCCCATCCTTCTCCACCTTCTCAGAAATACTCCCGTTGGACGCCTGAGGTTGCACACCAGCCACGGAAGGCTCAAGGAGTCGAGGACCTGCACTGAACCAAGAATGACTGAGGCATTGTGCAGCTGTTGGCCTCTTTTCAGGCACAAAATCAAGTATGGGAACCAGAAACTCTGCCATGTCATTTGCATCTTGCTCGCTGAATGCGTACTTCTCCGTTAGCACCTTATTAAGAGGCCAGAAACGCAAACGTCGAATATGCTTCAAATCCCCATACCGGTTAAAGAAGTCCCGGGAATACTTGCCACCTAATGCAGTCTGCAAAAGAAACATTTATGAATACCCTTATTTAACCAGATTTATTGTGAAACAGTATAAACTCACATTCTTGATTCTTCAAAGTGGCAGTGTAAGCACTACATATTAGTTTCACTTCTTTCAGTGAGTAAAGTATCATGGTATTACCTTACGGGGAATTGTTCCAAGAAGTTCCATCATCAGTGCCAGGTGATCCTGAAAAATGAGATTTAAAAGTCAATATGGAACTTCAATTATTTAAAGGAATACAATATATCTGACACCTAGTTTTTCAAATTCATCATAAACTTCCTTGAAATTCGAAGTGTGCAGTCTACCCCCGTCACTCTATGATCAATTAGCTCAATACCCTATTCAAGCAAATCCAGTAATGATTCGGGCAAAAAATTAACTCTGTAATATTTGATGAATTATGCTGGTTAGATGGTGCTTACGATGATATCAAAATTTACAAATTTGCGACTACAATGGCCCCTTTAAAGTGTTGAGTGCATCAGATAAGACAATTTAGGGGGTGGGGAACAATAATGACCACAGAAATATAGAACATACAAAATGGTCCACCATAAGGTGTAAGTTTTAATATTTGAATTGTTGCCTGAACAAAGAAAATATACATGTTCTATGATCTATCTAGGTGGCTATCCATGGAAAGAAATATTTTGATGAATTCTCAGTATCTGTAAAAATATCCGATTTGGAAAATCAGACAGTGCAGTACTTCAAAAGCGGCAAAGCTTTAAAAATCTAACAAAAATCTTTAGCAATTTCAGAGGAAGAAATCAAGAATTTCGCATACCTCATCCCGATCATAATTGTCACCGCTGTGTGGATCAAAAAGAACGTCACCAGTGGCTAGCTCAAAACAAACACAAGCAAAGGACCATAAATCTGCTGGAGTTGAGTATTTCGCTCCAAGAATAACTTCTGGACATCTGTACTGCCTTGTCTGAATATCACTAGTAAACTGCTTATACGTCCAACAAGCATTTCCAAAATCAACCAATTTGCATTTAAGGTCAGCTTCTGTGAATAACTTCTGCCTTGCAGAACGGCTTGCTTGTGCTTCTTGAGTTTCTTCCTTTTCTTCACCCTTTACTGATTCATTACTAACCCCAGAATCCTTCACTTGTTCTTGAACAGAAACCCCATTTGATTGTACTTCATTAATAGAATCTTCCGCATCAACTGTAGTGGAATCTGCCTCCATATCCTTCGAAATTTCCCTTCCTTCACAACCTTGAGTTGCCTTCTTAGCCTTTTTACGGATCTTCTTTTTCTGGTTTTTGGTGAGATCTCCGTTTAACTTCTTAATGTCTTTAGAAGCCCCAGAGACGGGCACAGTTTTATCTTTGCTGGTTGGAAGGATGAGAGGAGCACCTGATTTCCTAGGATCTTTAGATGGATCAATCATTGACGAAAGCAAAACATTCTCTGGCTTTAGATCAGTGTGTATTATTGAAAGTTGACTATGCAAATAATCCAAACCCACTAATATATGAAAACAAATTTCTTTGACCATGTGCAGCGGAGCCCCTCGGTAGTCATTATACTTAATAAGGGTCAGGAGGTTATCCCCCAGGTACTCAAAAACCAAACAGACGTGCTGTCCATTTGGGCCTGAATGCTTGAAGTGATCCAAAAGCTTCACAACACACTTCTTATTGCCAGGGTCTCCCTCGGCAATCTGTTTGAGAATCTTTATTTCGTCCATCGCAGCTTCAGTGTAATAACGAGAACTCTTTTGAATCTTCAAAGCTACATAACGCTACAAACAATGAATTCTCATGTTATTAAAGGTTTGAACGATGAGATTATTGAATAGGTACTCAATTACTTTCGTACACGTGGATAAAAAAAAAAGGGAACTTTAACGAAAAGCTTCCGGTACTGTTTACTTAAACGAAAGACCACATTTTTACACTAAAAATCAATCCTTGTACTAACTTTACCCTTTATTTTATTCTTATCGTTAAAACTCAGAGTTTTCAAGCTATTTTCATTAGTTTTCCTTAAAAAAAATCCGCACACACAACAGGAAAGATAGAGAATCTTCAATCCAAATGCTAATAAAACAACTAAGATAAAGTAACTGTAATAAGAAACTAGCTCAAATCACTAAAGAGTAACCAATGCAATAAATTTATTCTAAAACGAGATCCTTACTCAACTACGCCCAACTCTTTTCACTATTTGTATAAGCCAACCAATATAATCTGAGAATTTGAGCCATTCCCTAATATTTTTTTTTCTTTTTTTTTTGTTCTTCTACTCCTCTTGCAAATTACATTCAAATTTTCCTTTTCATTCTCACAATAACCGAATTGGTTCACTATCAACTAATTGGATTCATCAAAAAATTATGCCTCTTTTCATTGCCTAAACCCTAATTTCCCAAAGAATCATACAGAACACAACATTTCATTTCCTCTACTCTTTTCATTTTCCCTCAGTTTCTCAGTAACCAAACAAGTAGCATTCTTCACAACAAGACAGATACATACCGAGCTCTTTGTGTCCCACGCAAGCCAGACGGTGGAGAAGTGGCCCCACCCGAGCTTGCTCTGAACCACATAGCAGCCATTCTTGAAGGAGTCCCCAATAGAGACGGCGTGGTAGCCTCCCTTCTTGTAATCCTCGGTGCCTTCGTCTTCCGATGTGTAATCGCTGAGCTCGTCCCGGTCATCCGCCATTGGAATTGGGGAATTAGGGTTAACTCTTCACTGAGAAACCCTAGTGAGGTTTACTGGAACAAAGACCAACAAAGAAAGTTGATTGAGATGGCAGAACCGCAATTTTGAGGGAAAAAAAAAAAAGAAAGGTGGCAGAACAGTAAATTAAATATAAAAAGAAAACAAACGGGCCTGGCTAGCCCAGACTCTACCCGGCCCAAGATATTTGGGCACCGCATTTGTTCATGGTAAGATTTGAACCCTATACAAACATAATCCTAATATAAACTTCAACCATAAGCTTGATTTGATTAAAAACAAAACTAGCTAAATTCCCACGCCATTGTTTGAATGAACCCTAAAAGAGTGCAATTGTGGACCAAACTGAACCTAATTATAATAACTTGTTTGGTAAGTTTGACTTACATGAAAATCCGCCTAAGCCGAATCAAACCAACTAATCTGATTCTTAATTGTTTTAGCACTTGTCACATTTTTTTTTATCGGTTGTTAGCATATGTACTATTATGTTTTTCTCACAGATTGGTGTGTCCTTAAGTGTGTTCAAATAGTTTCTTATTAATCAATTCAATAATATTTACTATCCAGACACATTGTATATAAGATTCAGAATTTGTCAACTAACATGCAAGTTGTTCCCTTTGTTTCTCTCAATCGTAGGTATTTACGTACCCAAACTAAGTAAATTGCAAATCCCCTCTTCTTTTTTCCAAAATGTTTGTAATTGTGTTGGTAATCCTCTCATATTCCCCGGAAAATGAGAGGAACCAAGGAAGCAATTATGATTTTGATGATGGCAAAGCTAGAAACCTACCAATTAGCACTCAATCAACCCACTTGTAATGCTCCATTTTATCGTAACCCTATCTCTTCATAACACATGAACCCTTCCATCAAGATTGGATGCGATATATTACCCCAAATTATACCCCTCCTCCAAATTCAGTTCCCGAACTACGATGGTCACTGGAAGCACCGACACCGAGCGTGGGTGGCATTGTAAATAAAGCTACTCTATGTACCACGTCATGCGATTTTGATTGTGAGCACATAAACGGACCTAAGAGCAACTCCACCTCAAGAAAATTGCTTGGGCTGGGGGCAACATGTTTGTCTGGGCTGTTGGATTTTCAGTAGGTATATTTCTGGGCTATTAGATTTCCAACAGTTAAAAAATTTTGAATTCGAAAAGAATGGCTAGCACACGTGGCGAATTCTAGTTCGTTAGATGTTCTAATCAACGGTCCAAATTTTTCGGGCTTAAAAATTACAATATATATAATGATCTTATTAATACCGTTGGGATTACGTGTCAAAATCTGGGCTTTTGGATTAATCATACAATGTAATCCAACAATCCATATTAATTAGGTAAGATAAAACTTATAAAAAATTATTAACAAATACAGAAAAACGTCTCCACCAATTATGCGGCAGTAGAGGCGGTTGAATCTCGTTTTAGGGTTACTAGGTTTTACTATGGGGTCATTTTTGGGCCTTTTCGGGTGGGCCTTGGCTTTTGGGCAGAGACACTCTTCGAAATTTTTTGTTTTAGGTATTGAAGGGAACCTTTACTCATGTGATGAATGCATAAGTGACGTCCTATTTGTGCCTACCCTATTTATGAAGCTGTTATTTTATTTTCTCACTCATCTACCGTCTCCGTTTGGACTTTGTTATAAAAACTCCCAATGACCTAAAAAAAGCATATGAAATGCTTCTGACATTCAAGGGTTTCTAGAAGATGAAGATGGAGTCAAGTTTCATTCAAGGGTTTCTAGAAGATTAAGGTGGAGTAAAGTTTCATTTAAATTTCTGAATTAATTTACTTAATCACTATATCCTGAGTCTCCTCACATCCTTGAAAGGTTGGAAAGAATTCAGCAAGTTTCTTCCCCTGGCACCTGACCTTTGGTGTATATATGATGGTTCAACCCAATCTCAGCGAGCCGTGGACGTGTCTGAGACATAGAAGAGCCATATACACAAAGACTAAAAAAGGTTCTCCCACTTGAAGAAGTGCCTTCCATGCGAGGTGCTAAAAAGTGACAACCGCTTTAACTTGGATCTTCATGTATTTAGACAACAGACTGTAAATTCGAGAATTGGGTGATCTTGGTGATGATAAAACCGCGCAAGCAGATAGATAAGAGAAGCACATAGGAGGTGCTTCTCTTAGCACAAGTTACAAAAGTTACAACTACATTTTACCCTAAGAAAGAAACCAAAAGAGATTGACGAAAACGTAAACGGTGATAGGTTTAGAAATTACATGTGTTTGTTCACATATAATGTCATGTCACACTCCTTGTCACGGCCTGATAATAAAATGCTCGTCCCAGATAGGGCAGGAACAGGTTGCATGCTTGTTCTTCCATTCGGCTCCACAAGTATAGCAAAACTGATGTCCGCATCTACAAAGACAATAAAGACATGGTAAAAACAACAAGGGTTTATACAAAACCCATGAAATTATATATATAGCAGCATCCAAAAACAAAAATAAAAAAACACGAGTGAAGCCTTTTCTTAGTTTTCTTCGTAAGAAAGTCGAAATGTCCTTACAAGAGAAAATTGCATTTGTGTCGAGATCTTGGGACAACATGTAAAAAAGTATAACTTTACCAGCAATATTAACATATTGCCCTAAAATGTTAATCCACATAAGAACTCAAAGGAACTTCCTCGCAAATTGGAATGTGAAAAATAAAGAGCGGTGTTCATGAGAATAAAAGGGTATGGGGAAATCACTTACCCTCTAATCTTGTCTTTTCTTTTCTTGGCTATTCTTTCATATATAACATTTCAAAGCGTTCTAAATTAAGACAGCCAAAAGAATCACAGAGGAAACCTAAAAATTAATCAGACAGGAGGGACTAGAAGCGTAAAGCACAAGCACCTGCAAGTGATGTGGTAGCAACCACTCTCAAGTTCAACCATATGATTGCACTTTGAACACTGGCGCCAAAGTTTCTTCGACGCAAATGATTTCAACAATTGGTCTTCCACGCAGGAATACATTTCTGATCTCTGGAAATCGTAGCAGCTCATATCATAGTGCCAAGGAACCTTGCAGTTGATACAGAAATAGTGTTTACATTTCACGCACTTCCTGCCTCCCTCACTAACAAAAGAAGTCTTGGTATTTTCCAAGACCTCCTGTTTCGACATTAGTGCAGAACACCTCGGAAATGGGCAGTAAACTTTCTCCGTAACAGGAATTGAAGACTCCTTGATTCGTTCGATCAAAACATTGGCAAGTTCAGACGACAAGAATGTCTTACAACTATCGACATTCACCTCACACTTACAGTCTTTATGAGGGCATTGTGCCACGATCCCGTTTTGCAAATTTATTTCGACGTGATGTTTCAAGCAAGGCAAGCAATATTTGTGTTGACAAGTACCGATCGAAAGCATTCGAGCAACATCATTGTCTTCAAAACAAATCAAACAAGTTTCCTTCACACTCATGGCTTTGCTAGTTTAGGCAGGTAGAGGGGTTCTTAGAAGTCGTAGTATCAAATGTATAACCCTGCTTGCAAGACTCCGTGTGTTCGTAACCTATTTGTTATATATTGTCAGTCTTCTCCATCAATTGCAACAATATAACAAAAGCTTCTGTGCTAACCAAAACAGTAAAATTGAAATAATGAAGCTTAATGCTAATTTAAACTAACATATCGGTTAACCATGTTATCGTCACAGGAAAAAGATGAACCTTTTCAACTTCAAACCGCAAACTCCGTAGAATTTGAAGAAGAAAAGTTCGTTCACTCAATTTATCAGAGCACAACTCAGAGTTGCTTTCGATTGCACGTTCTTCATGGAGAAGAAGCAAGAATTCAACCAAAGAATAAGAATTGCAGAAGATCGTACCAGTTTTGCAGAGTGAGATTGCAGAAGCAGCGTAGAAGTCAGGATCGAAGACATCGATCGGCCATGTACGGCGAAGATACCATATAGAAATGAAGAAACTAACCTCAACAGTAGAGTTAGAGAGAGAAGTAGAGAGATGCAATTCTAGAGAGAGAGGAAATGCTTTCTGTAATTTTCATTAAACTTTGAAATTGCAAGTAATCCCAATCCAATATGACTCGTTTAGAAGTTCTTTTAAAATATTTATATAAAAAAATTGATAAAAGAAATTTTAAATCTAACTCTTATGAAAAATACAAATAAATTTAAAAAAATACTAAAATTTAATAAAATAAAAAAAAAGCATATAACAGATGCATCCTGCAAAAAGAACTCCACTCCATAGACTTCTATTTCTTACTCACTAAGAAAAGCAATCTAACCACTCCATTAGAACCGACTCAATAAGTTAACCAAAAAAAATATCTTTCCTCTCAAATTTACCGAAAAATAAAAACAACTTTCCTCCCAATCTTTTGACACCTGGAAGCATCTCAAGCATTGATATCTTTACACCCCCACAATCCACACCACAAAACGATTCATGTTGTACAAGTTGTGAGAATGAATGTTCATATGTTTTAGCTAAAAATAAAAAGTGAGGAAGACTTAAGAATAATGGTATTGTTGTTGTATGATGTTTTTTTTATAATGCATTCATTTCACTTTTATGATTCGTCACAGATATGGCTCTATATAAAGAGCATTCTGTGTAGGATTACAACACACAACACAGAAAAAAAGTGAAAGCAATAATATCAACATCCTTTCATTCCCTTCCTTACCTGCAATTTTTTTTGTGTTATAATTACAAAAATAAACAGTGATACATTGCACTCACTTCGCTCATGTCTCTAGTAAAGATTATCTCTCTAACTTTTGCCTACTTATAACTATCTATCCCTCTAACTTTTTCCTATTTATAACAATCTAAGATTTTGAGATTCTTTCTAGCTAGTTTCGGCATATCAAATTTTTGAGAAATTTTTCAGTGTGCTCGGATCATAGAGTAATACACAACATGTAATTATATATTTAAAGGGACACTTGAAAAAAAAAAATTTACACTAATTATATAATTACATGTGCCGTACTGCCTCGTGTTCTGAACACATTGAAAAATCTTACCAAATTTCAACTTTAAATCTTTGAGTTTTGATGAGAGAGAGAGAGGTGGTCATGACATGAGTCATGAGGAGTCATGCCTTCATGCATTGCGAAAGTGGAGAAGGAGTAGCATGTAAGGTTTGATTATGAGAATAAACCAGAAGGGTTTTCGTCGTACGTCTTTTGGAGTTCTCCACCTTAATCAATTTCAAAACAATAATTTATGGTCCATTTGGTATTTGATTTGAGTCTAGAATTTTTAATTCAAAAACTATTTTTAAGTTTAGGTCCTAAAATAAGCTGTTTGGTAAGCCCAGTTTCCAAAAATGAACTCAGAAAAATTTAAGAACAGTTCGTTATAATTTGAGAACGCCAAAAGTTAGGTTTTAGGGGTTTTTTTTTTCTTCTCATGCTGATCATTCTTCGCAATAGCGAGGTCTGAGTGACCTTGTGCCGCAGCGATCACGAGCAATCAAGGACGAAGAGATTCCGGGCGGTGAAGTTGCGGGTAGACCTGACATTTTCAACTTGACCCGTTAAAATTAGTATTCAGGTGAGTGATAAACGGGTCGGGTGGTTAACAGGTCAACCCATTAATCATCCATTAAATAACGGATCATTTCGGATACACCCCTGAAACCCGTTAACCACCTGTTACCACTTGTTATTGAGGATTTTCAATCTTCTGTTGCTTCGGAAGGTAAACAACTGCTTCGTTTTCCCGCTATCCAAACAGCTTTTCAGTCTCTGCTTTAATTCTTTGTTCAATTTCTCATCAAATTTTTCAGTCACTGCTTTTCATTTTCCATAGATTTGTATGGAAATCATAATGCAGAAGGATTCGAAGCCTTGCAATAATGCAGAAGATCTTCTCCATTTCGTGCTCTTCTTGATTATAAAGCGAGAGGTTTCTTGTTTTTCTTTCACGACGACGTCGTCGACTAGTCCAAGCAGTTCTTTCGCCAAAACACCTGCGAAACATTTCCCAGCTGAACTCTCAGCCTTGACCAAATCTCAAACCCAAAATCCCAAAATCCGCCCCAAGATGCGGCCACGCCACATCTGCAATGCTGCAATCCCACACAGACGACGCCGTCTTCTCTTCACACTACTCCACCTGTTCGTCGCAGGAATCTCCTGGCGGACGAGCACACAGCTCCCCTGGGAGAATGGCGTCGGTTGAGGGTATCTGTCGTACTTCTGCTTTCTTCTCGGGCTCGCTCGGGCAAGCCTTTGTCGGGCAGATCTTGGTCGGGCAAGACACACTTCGGGCAAGGCTCGTCGGGCAGTTCTGAAAGAGAAGGACAGAGTTAATTTGAAAGGGTGCCTTTGTGGGGCCTTAGGTGTAGGCCTTAAGGCTCACAATCAAGATTAACTTTGTCGTGCTCAGGCGTGCCACTGCCATCTTCAGTATGGCAGATGTTGAATGGGTGTTAAGCTTTGATTGAATATGTATACGCCCGAGAAACCAAGTTAGATATAACAGGTGCCTTTGTGGGGCCTTAGGTATAGGCCTTGAGGCTTCCTGTCAAACTAAACTAGCGCTTGGATGTATCATATTTGGTATTTTATGGTTGCCAGAGTCTTATTACTATTATACCTTTGATTATCTGAATCCAAGAGGTAGGACGAACCCAAATGAGTGCCTTTGTAGGGCCTTAGGTATAGGCCTTGAGGCTTCCCATCAGAGTTAATCCTTATACTCGGACCAACTAGACCGCAACATGAAATGAAGCTAAATAGATGCCTTCGTGGGGCCTTAGATGTAGGCCTTGAGGCTTTCTATCAGAATTCACTCCGTGCTTAAGCCTTTTCTACGAATCAAGATATAAAAGCAACAAAACGGAGAAATAGATTGTTTACTTGCGCCCCAAGTAACTTCGGACTTCTCGCTTATCAAGGATTATCGTGGATGGGTTGAGTCCACATAGAGTTCTTTTTTTATGCCTTGAGGCCAAGGACTTTACTGATCTTTAAATTACATGCCCGCGGGCTTAAGACTTAGATCTGATTTGAACTCTGACGCGATTCAGATCGGATTCAAGTGCTGAAGGCTCATTTTCATTATGACTTTGCTAGAAATAACTTGTATATAACTGGGAATATATAACATGTTATTGTGCTTTTAAAAGAAAGAAAAGACAAAGACAGAGCAAAGATAGTCGGGTAAGTTTGAACCTTATCGGCCAAGGCTGAACTTCTTACAAAATCTATCTTTGTGGCTCTGTCAGAGGTCTGAAAGCTTTTAGAGGGGTTGACGGGGGAGAAGAGGATACAAAATGAATCGATACCACCATGAACAAGGCATCAGAGCTATTACAGGGGTTTGGGAAGGTTTATCCCGAATGGGATGAAGGCTTGGGCTGACTACAGCTTCGTTGAAGGCAAATCTGGCTTGAGCAGAGTTTTGGCTTTTGTTTGTTTGTTTGAGTGTCCTTAATCCTGTCTTCTCTTCCTTCTTTTATAGACGACTTCAGCTTGGGTTCCTGTAGCAATAGCGGTGCCCGAATGCGGTTTGGTGATGACTCACTAGCTTTTTTACATGAATGCCACCAATAAAGTACTTTATTGGGCTATGTAGTGACTGAATAGCCTACCCCCTGTGGTCTTTGAGCAGGTAAGCAGGTGGCCTTTGTAACTTGTGCCCAGCCGAAAGCCTCTTTCCTGCTTCCTAAGTTTTCCTCTGGGCCTTGGGTTTGGGCCGACTTTCTCTCTGGCCCAAAGTTCAGATTTTATCCCAAACAGTGCCCCCTTCAATTGATGTTAAGGTTGGGATCCCAAGCGCCAACATTAAATGAATAACAACATGCGTGCCCTTTGAGCTTCTTGCGACCTTTTAAACTGCCTTCTGGTTCTCTATAAATTCTGGCTTTGGAAACCCTTTTCAAATCATCACCTCTTCTTCATTTTGGTCTTCACCCTTCATCCACCTTGAATCCTTCCGTCTCCCCACTGAGAAATGGGTTCCTCAGGTTTTGAGTGGAGTTTCCTGAAACTCCCCTTTCGTGAGAAAAAAAAAAAGAAAGTTTTCACCTGATGATTGCTACCTCCAACACCTTTGGTCGATCACCCCTCTACCTCCAACACCCTTGGTCAGGCGGTCTCCTCTTGATGTCTGATCTTCCCACAACTTGTGGTGATAAGTTGGGCTTCATCATCATACATGGTGAAGATCTTGTGGGAGGGTCCTCTACCAAGCTCATGTTGGCCGCCCAACCCGATCACCTGATTAGGTTTCAACCAAGAAGATAGCGGGAAACTAGTTGAAGACACCAACACTTTCAGAGAGGATCAAATGTAATACATAAGATTTGGTATCTTGTAATCTCATCAATTTGTCGACATGAAATAAGTATTTTTATCTATTTCTGCATCTCTGCCTTCTTTAAATGTTTGGATGAACAAAATACCGTATGTGAATTTCTAAGGTCCGTCTCACTCTGCTCCCTCTTCGATATAGCAATCCCTAACATCCCATAATGTAGGACAATATTTCTTCAAGAATTTTGCATTAATAGGGTGTTTCTGCTCATTGCCTTCGAGGTCTGCTAGATAATATCCTCTTTTGTTCAAAACCCGACTAATAATAAAATGACCTTCCCATGTCGGGCTCCATTTCCCGAAGCCACGCAGCTGAGCGCCTAGCGGGAGGACCGCTTTCCACGCTAAATCTCATTCCTTGAAAGACTTTAACTTCACCCTTTTGTTATAAGCTCGGGCAACAGCAATCTTTCCTTCTTGAATCTGGTTCAAGGCTTCAATTCGGGCTGTATCCAGATCTTCAATACCTTGACACATGGCTTCGATATATTCTGCACTATGCAACCCAAATTGGTTTTGAATTCTTACGGAACTGACGTTGATTTCCATAGGAAGCACTGCATCTTGCCCGAAAGTCAAGGCATAAGGAGTCGTGCCTGTCCCCGCTCTTTTAGAAGTCCGGTATGCCCACAACATGTTCCCTAGCATCTCATGCCACCTTTCTGGACTATCAATCACCATTCTTTTAATAATGTTGACCAAGATCTTGTTGCTAGCCTCTGCTTGCCCATTTGACTGAGGGTAGTATGGACTGGATTGGATCATCTTTATTTTGTACTTGCTTGCAAACTCTTCAACCTCCTTTG